CCCACACTTGTAATCCTAGTACTTTGGGAGGTCAAGGCAGGAGGATGGCTTGAGGGCAGGAATTCGAGACTAGCCTGAGCAATATAATGAGATCCAAGTTAAAATAATCTACAAACAATCTTTAAAAAATTAGCTGGGTGCGGTGGCACATGCCTGTAGTCCTAGCTACTAGGGAGGCTGAGGCAGGAGGATCACTTGAGCCCACGAGTTTGAGGTTACAGTGAGCTAGGATGATGCCACCGTACTCTAGCCCAGGCAACAAAGCAAGACCCTGTCTCAAAAGAAAAACAAACAAAAAGAATCAAATAAAAATACTGGCATTTAAAGGACGTAGTTATCTGGAAAATTATGTCATAAACATACTGTTGCTGGTAGAATTTTATTTTTTACTACTTAAAGACAGCTATTAACTAGTTCCAATGATACTTAGATTAATTACCAAATTAAAACAGGAAAGTATTGAATGGCTTCCTTTCCATTCAGTACTTTCAAAAAGTTATTTTCATGCTGTCAAGACTTTCAAAAATATAGCCCCTACCTCCTTCTTTAGCTTCTATCCCTACTATTCTGTTTTAGATTCTATACTCCAAACATCTCAAAGAACTTTGTTCTTCCCTGAACATACCATGCTACTAAACACCTCAATGTCTTTACTTATGTGGTTTTCTCTGCCTGGAATGTTTTTTCCCATTCTTTTTAACTACTTAGTGAATTCTTCTTCAAGATCAAGTTTAATCATTTCCCTTATTCCCTCCAAAGACTCTCTACTGGGCTACTAGTTAACATTGTATTACGGCTCTAATACATTATTTCATGAACCATATTGTACTGAATTTCATTACTTCCCTGTTAAAATTATAGATCTCAGGAAGCCATGATTTGTCTGCTGTGTATTACCAGGACCTAGCATCATGTATGGCACACATAGTCACTCAGTAAGTGATAAATCCTTGCATGAGTAAATGAACATTTACTTTGTTCTCACACATGAAATATCAGATATTTAAATACACTTGTAAGACTTAACCCCACTGTCATTGCATTGACATTATTTAGTTGAGTACTTAGCCCTAAATTATGTCCTCAGAGAACTGATTAAAATGTAATTAATATGAGCTATATGAAGACATTATGGAAAGAGAAGAAGGCACACTCTAAATAAACAATGACCAAACTCCACTAGATGATAATATTTATTTCAAAGGAGTAGGCCGTTGGTGTAAACTATTAATTACATAACACCAATGTACCTTTCCAAACATATCCCGTAATAGTCTTCTACATAAATTCTTCACTCCAGTTAAAATAATCTTATCATTGCCTTCTATGAAATCCCACTTCTATATCTTCACTCACATAACACTCCATGCTTGGAATGCATATTCCAATTCTATTTTTCAAAACCTATCTCAAAACCAGCCTTCTCTATAAATCCTCTGTACATTATACCTTTGCATACTATAGTAGTCCTCCTTTAAATTACTATGGTATTTAATTACATGATCATTCATTTAGCACCTGTTACATTTTGTCTTGCATTAGTAGCTACCTATATGTCTCTCTCCCATCTAAATTTTAAGCTTTCTAATTTCAGGAATCATGCTTTTAATTTCATTTTAATTTAATGGTACTTTAACACAGTTTTCTCTATATGTAGGTAAACCACTCAGGTGATTTTATAATTTTCCTTACTTCCTATTCACTATAGACATTGGACATTATAGATTTATTAAGAGCAAAAATGAAGTTGGATGCTAACACAGTTAAAAACTAAAGTTTATTTAATTACAAACTAGCTACAATATAGATACTAACAAATCTACTTTTATAGTAAAGCTTTTTAAATGTACTCATCACATAAAATACTAAACTTTTTCTATTTTAACTAAAAAAAATGAAATGCTATTAGAAAGATAATTTAAAATAGCAACATACTGATTTAGGATGCTCTTTGGCCTCTAGTACTTTTCTGTTCATGATATCTAGTGTTCTAGGATAAGATTGATCATAGCTTGCTGGTCCTGGATTATTTGAAATAAACTTCTTAAAACGTTTCTCCCGGTTTTGTAGACTATGGCCTCCTTTTACATTACACTAAGTTGGAGAGAAAAAAACTTATGAAACAATTAAAAGAGGTACTTTACGATTGATTCCTATTTGATAAATATTAATTATTATGAACAAATAGTTTTGAAATCCAACCTGAGAAAAGTTAAGACCCTTGACTGAAGACACAGTTTTAGTGAAAGAGGATAATAAGAGAGGATGACAATTATAGTTGTCAGTTTTAACTTTGAACCCAAGCTAAAATTTACTGTACTTAGAACACTCTAAAAGAATGCAAGAACACTCAGTTTTAAAACAGGAATTCCCAAAGCTGTAGAACAACAATAAAGAGTATGTTTTTCAGGCCCCTGGAAAATTTGTACCCCTGAAATAAACTTTAAAAAATGCTGGCATTCACAGTGCAGGGAAAAAGCAAATCTTCCAAGCTTGTTTGGGATAAATTATTTTCACAGATATCATTTTGGTTATTTCCAGAGAAGTT